GTGAAAAAGAAGAGGCATAGGGAGGCACGATGTCCGGGCTTGGCTGTTGGACGACATGCGCCCTGACCCCTCAGATTGGTTGGATCCGTCTGTGCAAGTCTCTCCTGTTCAACCAACATCAGAGCGCAAGTTGAAGGTTGTCCTCTCCAACCTCCATGAGATCTCATCCCTTTCGGTCATTTTCCCTGATATGCCGCACAAGAATTTCTCTATACGAGTGTCCTACAAGAGTCCCCTGCAGAGTGTCCTACAAGAGTGGCCCACAAGACTGCCCCAACAAATTGTCTCACCAGAGTACCATATAAGATCACATAAGGGTGTGCTACAAGATCTACAAGAGTCTCTTACAAGACTGTCCCTGCAAGAGTGTCCACAGGAGTGTCCTACAAGAGGGCCCCACAAGAATGTCCCACAGGGAGGCCTTGCAAGAGTGTGCCCTAATTACAAGGGTGTTCTACAAGTGTCCCGCAAGAGTGCCCTACGAAAGCCAATTTCCCACCAGTGCCCTCCAAGAGTGCTCTAGAAGAGTGCTGCAAGAGTGCCCTAGAAGAGTGCCCCTACACTTCTCTGGCCGGCGATGGTCAGGCTGGCGATGAATTTGGTGACACTTGCGTTGGGATTCAGACCCATTCAAAACTGGTGAATATTCTTTCACATACCCGTGAGTAGTGCCGGGGGGGCCTGGACCATGGGATTTTATAAAGAATACCACATGGGTATCTTTCACAAGTTATCACAATAAAAAAAAACGGATCAAGTTCCAATAACATGCGGACAAGCTTGAGTAGCGCAAGACACAGCAGCTGCAGTGCCTCAAGTTCCAATAACAAAAGACAAGCTCTAAGAGACGGGTGAAGCCGCACCGGTTAACCACCGACCGCTCACCCCTCCAGGTGTCCCGTGCAAATCCATGTCATGGTCAAAGCGATCCGGCCTGGAGGGCCATGGAGTTGGGGAGTTGGTTTTGGGCTACGAAGAAAAAACCACTCAATGTGACCGGTTTGGAGCATCCTAGGAGCCCGGACTCACAGTTGACCTCTGCTTTTGATCGAAAAGGCCGTGCCGTGGCCGTATTTTGGGGTGGTGGCCGGTCCAAAATAGAGGTCACTCAGGCTCGGCCGCCACTTTCAGGACATAGGCTTTTGGCCCCCCCTTGTCCATCAGGGAACATCGTGTGTTTGATATGTTGGCTCCATTTTGCATTCGCGACGCTGGAGTTTCAATACTTCGCGACTTTGAAAAGGGCTAAGCTAAAGCTTTAAAACTTGTTGTCTACCAGCGTGCTCAAAGAACTTCTTCTTCGAAATGATTCGCTTCTTCTTCTCCCCAAGTCCTGCTAATCCAACACTTCACCTAAGTCCAACATACTGACCCCTCTTCGGGCCCCATGACCTTTTTGAAGAAGATGTTTTTGTTTGGAAGCAGCTCTTGGGAACCGACCCGGGTCCCGGGATCCGGCCGAGATCTCCACCTGATTTGCTCCGTCTGCGGCTCCTCTGCACTGTCCTGGCGGAGCTGGCGGCGGAGCTGGCGGCGGAGCTGGCAGCGGCCCGAGGGACTTGAAGAGCTCCCGAGGCTAGTAGCAAGAGGCTATTAGTGGCTCCTGGCATTACTACTACTAGGAACAAGACTAGTAGATCCTGGCAGTACTACTAGTAGCAAGAATGCTACTAGGTTGGAGGCCACAAGCTACTAGTGTGGAGGCCATTGCTAGTAGCAAGAAGCTGTTCTAAAGCCTCCAGTGGCAGGAGATCCACAAGTGGCGTTTGATCTGAAAAGCCTCCACCCAAACAAGAATGACAAAGAGTCGCCCTGGGCGTGTGAGTCGAATGGTCCCGGGAGTTCCTCACGCGCATGGAGCACTCCAACTGTATATGGCTGCTTGCGAGCAGCAAAACTCCATCAGTTCGAGTGACATCAACACTTGCTGACGAGGGGTATTCGGGTGAGTTTCACCCAAACAATCATTAATAATATCAACAATCACATTCATTGTAGAAGGGTCAGCATTTTCTTAAGAAGGGGTGACGGTCAACACAAGATAAACCCACACAGGTCTCAGTGCCAGTCTCCTCCCTTGGAGGTGAACCACCTTTGGGGGGGGGTGCTCGACCTCCATCGTTGGACCAAGGCATTTCCCGGAAACACGCACTTCAGCTTTGTAGACACTGTTCCCACTATCTGCTGAATACCAAAAAAGGCTTCCTGGATGGTGAAACATCTGGGACGTTCTTTTGGGGGGATGTTTTCAAGAGTCGAGATTGCAGCAAAAAAGATCTGGAATCGTTCATATGTATATATACTGTATTCTACAGTATGTCTTCAAAGACAAACAGATCTATCACAATTCTCTCCCAGGACCTGGGTTTCCCTCAACGACCTCCCTCTGCGGCTGTGTTTCATTCCCCAGCCTCGCCGCTGTCGGCATCCTGGCAACGTCGTCGCAGGGATGCTGGTCTCAAATCCAACAGTTTGGTGGATGTCCGGCTTTAGATCCTTTAGAATATCCCACGGTATTAGACTTCAAAAAGATTCCCACACTTGGTATCACTTGGTGGTTCCAGGGTCTCTATCATGTCTTCTTGCTCTGTAATTATGCTGCAACTCGTCTCGTCCTCCGCCTGGGAAGACACGTCTGAATTCTTTCGGTCGGTTCCGATCGTGATTCGCTGTCAAGGCCTCCTTGACAGGCCGAGATCACGGGTTCACTCGGGTTGAGGGCCCAACTCCTAGGTTCTTTATGGTTGTTTAGCCGTCAAAGCTAGCCCGCGGTTTTGTTAGCTGTCAAAGCAATCAAGCCTGAGAGGATGAACAATCATGCTTTGGCATGCATTGGCATGCGTTAGCATGAACAAAACATGTGTATGTCTATATAGCACTACTTTACAACTACATTTTTTTGTCTTTAATCACCGCCCTCCACCTTTTGCTTGCAGTACCGGTACTTTGAGATACCCCTCCCAAACTGCTTTCCCAAGACCATATCACGGGTCTGGGCTATTGCGCATTAGCGTTGTTTGTCATTGACTTGCAGTCATGCTGGCCTTTCATTCATGCTTCCACTATGCTTGTGATTGCTACATCCTGTTGAAAAACCTTCCAGCAACGGTAGTCAACTCTTTTTTAGACCAACCAGAAACGATGACCCCATCGCCCAGGCATGCAGGGTAAGCAATGTCCTTGATCATGAACAAGTCCTTCAACCTACTTGAACAACAACACCATCCACCCATCTCCTGCCAGGTCCCCGCGGTGTCCACGCGCGGTACATCCGTTCCGACCGCTCCGCGGACCGGACCCCCACCTTCGGCACGGCGCTGGGCGCGGCCTGGCGCTTGCTCAGTGCTCGCAGTTTGCGAAAGACGAACATCGGAACATCGCAGCATCTGGCCAACTCATGCCCAGTGTTTGGCTCCAATGCGCGAGCCTGGAAAGATACCCCGCATTGAGCCAGTTTAACCATATGTCTTTTTCCCTTGTGAATGCCCGTGAGTAGACATCTCGCTGAAGTTATATATTGTGCAGCCGGGCTCCATATGGCTCTGGAAGACACGGTCGTATGGTATCCACCGGTGATCCCGCCCGTGACAGTCGAATCTCTGTGGTTTTGATTTAAACACGATACAAAAAGCTTTGAGAAGAAAGGAAGGCCGAGTCGAGATAATTAAAAGACAACAATAATGATCAATTTGATGATTAATGATGTAAGTCTAACTTTAGGATACTTTAGGAACATCCTCAAGCTATAAAGGAACATGGTGGAAACCTCGGTCGGTGCACGTATGCCAATCCATGCCAATCCATGCATTAAACCGCATGGAGATGAGACTTCAAAGGGTGGAAGAGACTCCTAACATCTCCAAAACCGCCACTCAAACGCAACGAAAACCGGGTTTGGCAACTAAAACCGGGCTTCTCAAAAACCAATTCTATAGGGCTTGGTTGCTCACCGCATGCTTCGCCCTTCCAACCGTCACTCGAATGCCCCGCCGACTGTGAGATCGAGAACCGGCCGGTCGATCCCTGGCCACTTCCAACTGTGTAAAATATCGGCCTTTTTGATGTTGCCTGATGTCATGAACAAAAGAGGTGCACATTGTATATTTAATATTGCACATCCCCCCTTCGTACAGAGCCTTCGACGCTGCCTGGCTCACATAGCCCCCCTGTCAGGAAGTTTCAGCACGGATGTCGAAGCGACCATGTAGGGTAGGGAGGTCGATACAAACGGATTTTAGGGCCACCCAGGTTTAGATTTGTTTTTGTTTAAAACCAAAAAGATACCTTTAATATCCTTTAATGATGGGATTTATACTTATACTGTCTGTTCCATTGTTTATTTCACCTCAGTGTTGCTCATCATAAGAAGGAGCTACCATGAGCTACCAATGAACCTCCAGCTACCAATGAACCAAGGACCGATCTAGGAGGATATAATGACCTTGGTCCGGCCACACGACCTTTTCTCCGCTGTTGTCAAGCATCAAGCGGCCGCCCGGGCCAGCCGCTGGCCGTCGGCCGAGAGGCGCAGCTGGGAGCTTTGAAGGCTCTCGCGGATGGTGTGAAAATCCGCGCAGATCTGCTTCCTGTGATAGGGGCCGAGGTCACTCGCAAAGGAAGCACGGAGCGACGTAGTTCTTACTATGTTCATTATGTTCTTGCTATTTGTTGGTTTTCGTGTGCCAAAGGGAAGGAATCACCCAGATGTCGTTTCTCAACACCCCCCCACGAAAAAATCCCATACACTCCATGTATGGAATATATGCCTACATTGACCCCCCCAAACCACCCCAATGTAGGCATATATGGCATACATGGAGAGTATGGGAATAGTGTGATCGACTTGTTTTCCCTCTGGAGGCGACGTACGGTTTCACTGTCAGACTGCTTTGGCTTTTGTTGGGAAACTCCCTCTTGTCTATAATTCTATAAGGTCCACCGGTCTGTTCATCAAAAGCCCCGTGTGGTGAAGCACAGGATATTCGTTCGCGGAACAAAACGTGCTGTTTCCAGGAAAAAGGGTGTCCGCGTTCGAACCTCCATTAGCCTCCATTCTCTTCATGCCCAAAGCCCAAAGCACTCAAAACTGCTTGTGAAAGCTGCCGCTTGAGCACGTTCTTGCCCTGTGCGTTTGAGTGCTGCGCTATTTTGCGCCGTTTCCCAGGGGTCATGTGCCGCTTGCAGATTTGTTCGGTTGACATGCAAGAAACACAAACACTTATACACTATAACAACAAGGGCCGTTTCGCCAAATTACAATGTTTCTTTTTCTAGAAGCAGCAGTAATATTTTGCATACTTATAGGATATACTTAGGTAACTTAGGAAGATGCAGGTAAATTGCTGCTAAGCTCCAATTTGTTATACACCATCCATGTATAGCCTACATTATTGTATACTGTACCTACATTGGGGTGGTTGGAGGGTCAATGTAGAATATTGTCACATATTCCAGTCCCATGGATGGTCTGGGATAGTTATTTTTATGTTCTTTTGGGGCTGCGACTTCGTCCCCTGCTTTCCAAGGGACAAAAGCTTGAAGTCCATAATCTCTTGGATCCCCACGAAGCCTTCTGCATCAGCCAGGGACCTCAAGTACTCCTCAGTGAGACCCAAACGAGCGTTGGGTCAACATGGAGTTTCTTGCTCTTTGGGGGGGGGTGCCTTGGGTCTCCAATTCAGATCAGATTTGTTTGTTGACTTCCAAGTAGCATGAAGAACGTGAGGCACAAATGAAATTTCAGGCTTAATCAGAATGCAACGCAGAACTCAGAACCTCGTTCCTGAAGAGATCCTCAGTGCGTAAACAATGAAATTTCATGCTCAATCAGAATGCAACGCAGAACTCAGAACCTCGTTCCTGAAGAGATCCTCAGTG